TGCTTCCCACAGAGGCAGCTGTCCCCCATGCGAGGGCTGGCTGGGGAGCCACTAACCTTTGCTGGGGAAGAGAAGAGGTGAGGGAGGGAATCAAGGCTGACCCTTGCCCCTTAAGCTTCAGGCAGAGTGTTGCCACCTGCAGGTCTTTCCCGCCTGTAAGGCGCAGTATGGTCTGTATTGGCAAGTCTCTAGGTCTTAAGCAGACACAAGCTGTGAGGAGTCTGGTGGCTTTCAACTGCCACCTTCAGAGCCAGGGGTTGGGGGACTTGTCATCCTCTTAGCTTGTCCCTCATCTGTTAGCTGTGGTCATGGGCGGAGTGTCCCGAGTGGTGTTGGGTTACTGGACCATGGTTATCATAAACAGCCCACGGGCAGCTGCCCGGGGAAACAGTAGCCGACGGGCTTTTACTGCCCAGCTTCTATGCATTATGCAGAAGCTTTTTATTCTGTCTAGAGCTTATTAAAATTTCAGTGGCAACAACGGCAGGGATCTCTGGGGTCCAGGCATAATTCTTCTTCTCTGGAGGCATCCTAGAGGGGTCCCTTCCCCCTTGGCTGCATCCCCCGCAGTCTGCAGCCGAATCATCTAGAGGGGTGGGCAGGTTACCTGGACGGGTGGCAGTGGTCTTGGCCGGGTGCCAGATACTTACACACATTGACTTTCATGACACCCTGCAGGGGAAGCCTCATCACCATTTACAGGTGAGGAAACTGAGGTTCCAGCGCGGTGTCCTCAAGATGAGTGGCAGAACTGGGCCTTAGGCAGAGCCACCTAACGTCTTTCTGTCCCTGTGACAACTTTCTCAAGGGTCTTCTGACCATTTTGTTGTCCCAGAAACCCCCAGGGACGCAAGGGGATGGTGAGGAGGAGCTCTGCAAAGATGGTCCCGTTGAGGCCATGGGTCCTGAAGGGCTTGCCGCCGGGCTCGCGTGGACTCCTGGGTCGAGTGATTCTCGCTGACTTGACCCTGCTGGGGTGGAGCGGAGGGGGCTCTGTCTTCTGAAGGGGCTGAGAAGGCGGTGACTGTGTCTCTGAGCGCCCCGTGTCTTTGCAGAAGGAGCCCAGCGAAGTGCCAACACCTAAGAGACCTCGGGGCCGACCAAAGGGAAGCAAAAACAAGGGTGCTGCCAAGACCCGGGTGAGGCTTCACATAGGGCCACTCCTGGGCACGTGCGGAGCAAAGGTCCCTCTGATTTCTCCATGGCCGCAGCTGGAGGGAGGTGTGGGAAGGGGCTGGCTTGTGCTGACTCCACACCCGCTTCCCTGGCACAGGGGTGGCGATGTGTCTCTGCTAATTGGGGAAAGCTGGGTGGTGACTGAGGCCTCACTTATATGGGCTTGGTCCTGCCCAGGACAACGGGGAAATCAAGGCAGAAGTCCTGCAGCTTTCCTGGGCTCGAGAAAGTCAGAGTGGGGAGAGTGGAGGCCTCTCTGCCGACCTCTGGGCTGAGAATATTACCTTCTGCCCTTGGGGTGCCCTGGAGCCTGAAGGGGTAGGGACAGCAGCAAAGGCCAGATTCACGGTGGCATCAGGCTTTCAGAAAAGTTGTTTTGTTTTCTATCTTATTTTTTCTAAGACACGACTCATATCCTCTGAGTCATGGGTGGAGGAGGGAGTAGGGGGCGTGTGTGTATGTTGAGGGGGGCTAGTGTGGCTGGCCAGTCATCGCCAGCTGGGCTTGGGCGGACCTGCTGGGTGCGAGTCCTGGACCGCCCTGAACAGAGGTAGGCAGGTCTGCCCCCCACCCACTGTCCCGGGCATTGGTCACTGAGTGACCACTGTTGAGCAGTTTTGACTGAGGGGATATTTTCTCTAACCCTCTAGAAAACCACCACAACTCCAGGAAGGAAACCAAGGGGCAGACCCAAAAAACTGGTAGGTGAAGCAGCAGAGACTGGGGCTCCCCTCATGGCCTCTGGGGGGAGGGTGTTGACACAGGTGCCTAACCCTAAGCACCCTCCATGGAAAGACTGCTCTCCCTGGCCTGCGGGGCCGGGAACGATGGGGATGGGGTCCGGGGCCGGAGGGCATTGCCCAGGGCTTTGAAAGGGCTGTGCCCATGAGAAGTGAGGGGTCCCAGGTACAAACTGGACCACATCCTGGCCTGCTCTAGTAGAGGGTGTTCCTACCTCCCTCTGCTCCTAGAATAATCTCAGAACTACTAGAGGCCATCCTGGGAGTCATCCAGTCTATCCCTCCATCACAGAGATGAAAGAGCCCCAGGGGCCGCGCGCGGTGGCTCACGCCTGTAATCCTAGCTCTCTTGGGAGGCCGAGGCAGGCGGATTGTTTGAGCTCAGGAGTTCGAAACCAGCCTGAGCAAGAGCGAGACCCCATCTCTACTAAAAATAGAAAGAAATTAATCGGACAACTAAAAATATATAGAAAAAATTAGCCGGGCATGGTGGCGCATGCCTGTAGTCCCAGCTACTCGGGAGGCTGAGGCAGAAGGATCGCTTGAGCCCAGGAGTTTAAGGTTGCTGTGAGCTAGGATGACGCCACGGCACTCTAGCCTGGGGAAAAGAGTGAGACTCTGTCTCAAAAAAAAAAAAAAGCCCCAGGAGGAAGCGGTGAGGCTTGTCCTCACTGTGATGGTCTTGGGAGCTCAGCCCTGCGCGGGGGTCATTGTTGGGTAAGAGTTGCTCACAGAAAGCACCTCCACTTCTGGGTCCCCCAATAGCTGGTGGGGCTAGGTGGGCTGAGTCAGGAGACTACGGGTGCCTCTAGGGGTACATCGCAGTTAGGGCCACACCAGCCTTCCAGCTCCTGGCAGTTTGTTACCCCTAACCTACCCTCTTAACTCCAAGGCGTGCGTTCGTTCCTCGAGCTGAGCCACCACTGGGGTAGGGGTGGGGGTTAGGGGGTGCTGCTGGCCAGGCCCCACAAGTGAGTAACAGGAAACAAGTTGTTTTGGAGTTTGTGCCTGTCACGGGGGCTGTAGCCCCATGTGTGGTGTCCCAACATTCCCGCCCAGTGAGTGAGCCCCAGCGGCACACACTTCCCCTTCCTCCCCACCCTGGCCTGGGGTCAGCCCTCGGCCACCGGGCCCCCCTGTGGGATAAGGCCACCTGGTTCCCCTGCACCCACTGTGGGGCTCATGTACCCTCCAGCCACCACTTCCTTCCCTAGCGCCCCCACCCCCCAACGCCGGTCACTTCCTGAGCTCAGGGTGCACTGGGCTCTGCCCTCCTGCCCCCATCGTGGGCCTGGGGGCCAAGGGGGCCTGGCTTCTGGCTCTGGGTGAGAGCAGAATGTGTGTGGGGTTTTTTTCCTCCTTTTAAATTCTTCCTTTTTATGAATGAAACCCGGCAGTAGAGGTTGCTGAGTCACCCACACACTCAGCCCTGACTCATCCCCCTTCCAGAGAGCCAGGGAGTGCAGGGGGGCGTGGGGGCCAGCCTCTGGGGGTGGAGGAGGAGGGGGCCAGGCCAGAGCTCACACTTACAGCTCTGCCCACCTCACAGGAGAAGGAGGAAGAGGAGGGCATCTCGCAGGAGTCCTCAGAGGAGGAGCAGTAACCGAGCGTGCCGCCTGCTCCCTCAGGAGGAGCAGCTTCTTTCTGGGACTGGACAGCTTTGCTCCGCTCCCACGGTCCCCCTCCCCAGACCCCCCATCACCACCACTTCCGCCCGCCAGCCCCCACCTGCCCTCACCTCCACACACTACAGCACACCAGCTGCTGCGGGCCCCCGTGGGCCGCGTGGGGAGCAGTTTTCCCCGGCCTCGGTTCCCAGCCACCCCTCCCGCCCGTGCACACACACTCGCCCTCCTGGACAAGGCTAACGGCCCACTTAGCCGCACTCTGCGCCTGCTGCGTCCCCGCTCCCTTGGTGGTGGGGACATTGCTCTCTGGGCTCTTGGTTTGGGGGCCCCTCTCTGCTCCTCCACTGTTCCCTCTGGCTTCCCATAGAGGGGCCTGGGAGGGCTCCCCTGGCCTTAAAAGGGGTCCGAGCCCCATCTCATTCTGGCACGTCTCACTCCACTGTTCTGGCAGCAGCAGGTGTGGCCAATGGAGGGGGGTGCTTGGCCCCCGGGATGCCCCCAGCCAGCCTGTGTCTTTGTCACCATGGGGGGCTCACACCCGCTTTCCTTCCTTCCCCACCTTCCCTAGTCCCGCACTAGGTTGGACAGCCCCCTTTGGGATACAGGAAGGAAGGCAGGAGGGATGTGAGTCCCCTCCCCCTCTGCACAGGGGCTCCAGCCCACCTTGCCCTCAGCCTGGGATCTGAGTACCTATTGGAGCGATGGAGGTGCAGTCACCCTTGTCCAGGAGAGGCCCAGATTCCTTGTGGCGGCCACCTAAGTTGGGCTGGGTCTGTTTGCCGTACCCCACCTGCTCCCACCCTGCAGCCCGGGCACTAATAACAAGGAGCTGGCCCTGCCCGCGCCCAACCCTCCCGCTCCTCCCCTACCCCCCAAGGTTCTGGTTCCATCTTTCCTCTGTTCACAAACTACCTCTGGACAGTTGTGTTGTTTTTGTTCCATGTTCCATTCTTCGACATCCGTCATTGCTGCTGCTACCAGCGCCAAATGGTCATCCTCACTGCCTTCTGTTCTGCCCACACTCCCCTCCCCCAAGATACTCTTTGCGGGGAAGGGGGCCGGGGCACAGCAGGCTGGGTTACCGACCGCCCCAGTCCCAGGGAAGGTGGGGCCCTGCCCCTAGGATGCTGCAGCAGAGTGAGGAGGGGGCCCAAACTGACCATGAAGGGTGTAGGGGCCACTTCCTCCCCCTGTTCTGTCGGGGAGGGGGTAGCCGTTATTTGTCCCAGCCTGGGGCTCCCCTCTGGTTTCCTATTTGCAGTTACTTGAATAAAAAAAATATCCTTTTCTGGACTGGCGTCTGATGTGTGCTCACAGAGCCTGGGATAGGTGGGGTAAAAACCAAGGGTGCAGTGGGTGGGGGTAGCCCTGGGGAGGTGGTCTGCCTGGGGAGGGGGGGGAGTGAGGAGAATCGCCATTGGAGTCAGCTCAGCGAAATTGACCACACCCCTTGCCACAAAACATTTTATTTACAAAATATATATACTGAATGCTATACATCCCATCCCTGCCTGGTCACCATGGAGACAACTCAAAAGCCCTCTCCGGTATTTATGCCAAAGCCAAGTCCAGGAGGGCTAGAGAAACCAAAGCTGGCTCCCAGTCCTGCTCCCACCCCGGAAGGAAAAACTCCCGTTGGTGCCTGGCGGGTGGGTGGCCGGCTCAGCACCCACAGAGGGCTGAAGGCCTAGGGCACTGAGGCAGGGGGCGGCTGTTGTGCAGGGCTTGGGCAGTGGGTGCTGCTGGGAGGAGGGGATATGGTGACCTGGTACCCGGCAGGGGGAGCTGGGTGAGCGCAAGTGGGAGGGGAAGCAGAACGCAGGGCCCTGGACATCCCAAGGCCCTCAAGGCTCTGGAGGTCGGGGCAAGGGTGTCGGGTCATGTCTTGACATCGAGCAAGGGCATCCGCTTGTGCTGGTAGCCGCTCTGCCAGCCGTGTACCACCTGTTGAGGAGACCACACCACAGGCTGGGCTCTGGCCCCTGGGAGTCCGCTTGGAGGAGGTACCCACTATGGTCACAGCCCAAGTGGGGAGGACTGAGGGCTCTGGTTTCAGTAAGGGAGAGTGCGGGTGGGAACAGGGCCGCCCCCACCTCGGCCTGAGTCTGCACCCGCAGAGTGCTCACCTTGGGGTCTCCCACATCAGAGAGTAGCTCCTGCTCCGCCTCGTGCAGCTCCTCAGCAGGGTCGTAGCTGTACATGGGGAGCAGGTGATGGCGAAGCCGGTCCACCCTGGGGAGCAAGGAGGGGGCTCAGCCCAGGGGACCCCACAACCCTCATCAAACACCTGACTGCCTGGTTTCCACTCCCTACCCCAGGGAGGGGCACTTCCAGTGGGTGCCTTTTGGGTCATACTGTGGCTCTAAAAATACAAGTCTGATTGTATAAAGGGGCCTCTCCCCAGTGAGTAAAGTGAGGCTGGGCAGGGGAAACAAATTTCAGGCTTGTAGCAGGATGGCCCAGGGACATCTTGCATCTGTGCAGACAACTCAGATCCTATGGAAAGAAATATAAGCAGAACACGGATGGGGGCTGGGATTAGAACTGGGGTCAGGGACACTCACCGCTGCTTCTTCTGCACGTACATCACCTGGAACAGAGACGGCACTGTGGAGGCTGCTGAGCCCAAGAAGACCCACAGCCAGAGGGGACCCACCTCCACACCCTTCACAGGAGGACAGCTGAGACTGTGCAGGCCAGACCAGGCCCACCCAGCCTCTGCCACAGCAAAGGTGTCATGTCTCTGTGCCTATGTGGGGGCTCCTTACCACAGCCACCACCACCCCGACCAGGGTGATGAGGAAGAAAGGCCCCAACACATAGCCCACCATGGAGTCGCTGTTGGCCTGGGGGGCATTGGGCACTGTGGTGTTACTCATGACATCGGCGGCCGGAGGGCTGGGTGGTCAGCATGGGCAGTGGTGCCTCGGGAGGGCGCCTCCAGTGGGCTCCCTGGGGAGGAGGAAGGGAGGTTATCGAATGCACCCAGGGTGACATCCAGGCTCCGCACCCTCCCCCAGGGCTGGACATCTATGAAAACTGGTCCCAGGTCAAACACTGGGAAGAGGATCCTCCAGGTAAAAGCGCTGGGTGTAACCCTCCAGTGACTCTTGGCAGATCGAGGGTGGAAGGAAGGGCGCGAGGGGAAAGCTCTGATCCCGGGCCTGAGTCCTGGCTAGCTCGTATCCCGCCATCCGATGCTGGCCAAACATTTGCACGTCTCAACTTATGGGGAAAGATGAGGTGCAGGTTCCCAGCACCTATCTAGTGGAGCAAAAGGGAGAGGTTGGGCTAACACAGGAAGGCCCTGCGCTGCAGCCGAGGGGTGAGGTGGGAGCATTTGAAGGAGCCGGCGTCCATCCTGGTCCAATCCCACGCTTCAGGCCATGGGCCCCATGCACGGGCTTCGTGCCCTCCTTGTCGCTGGTGTCACCTCAGATATATATAGTCCGAACACTCCACCATCGGTATCGTGTGCCAAGGTGGACACAAGTGAGTAAAGCTGGATTGCATCTTCGAGATGATGTCACCTCCCTCCGGTTTCCACCCGGGGCTCCGCCCAGGTCCCTCCTCTCCCGGCCCGACCTGACAGGCGGAGGTGGAGAGGGTCAGCTCCACCAACAGAAGCAAGGAGACCATCCTGGGGCGGCTGCACGTAGTGGCCCAAGGTTCCGGACCCGGTTTCGCCTGGGTCTCCATCAGAGGGCGAGGTATGAGCTACCTAACCCCGTGTCCGTGTGGCAGGGGGCACCAGGCTGCCCGTCCCCAGTCGCATGCTCACCGTCCCAGGTCGAGGGGGTATGCCAGGGTGGGGAGGGCGGCTCCTAGGATGCGGGCCAGCACCGGCAGGCAGGAGGCAGCTCCCACGGCGCTGGGAGGATCAGGCCGGGGATGGGGGGTGTTGGGGGATCGCGGAGGGGCCGCCCTCCGCCCGGACATCCTGGAATCCCGGCACCCCGAGGCGTGGACCCGTGCGGCGCTCTGCAGCCCGGCCGACCTGGACATGCCTTACCTCCCGCCGCTGCAGCCCGTACAGCAACGCCCTCGGTTGGCTCCCGGGCCCCGGAAGAGCCGGCAGGCGCGTGATCAAAGGACCCGGGGAAATGGGCGGGGCCTCGGCAGCCAAGCGCGGCCAATCCAGGGGCGGGAGGCGGGCGGCCCGGAGACGTCTGGAGCCGCCAATCCGGCAGCGAGGGACGGCGGCGCGAGGGCAGCGCGGCCGCACTGGGGCCTCCCCGCGGCGGCAGGGGGCAGCCGAGGGCCGCGCAGCGCCGGGGGAGCGCGCGGGGCGGGCGCGCGCCTTCCCGGCGTCCCCCGGGCCGGCAGCGGCTCGCAAGCTGGGGTTGTGGGGAGTCGGGCGTCCGCCGCGTCCACCCTTGTGGTTGAAGCCCAGGCGCAGGGTCCCGACAAAGGTCCAGCTCACGCGGCCTCCGTTAGCGTTTGTAGCAGGCCCCGGGCTGCTCGAGGTTGGAGTCGGGCAGGCCCGGTGAGCTCCTGCCGAGCCACGGGACCCCAGGCCCCCCGCCCTCTGGCGCCTCAGTTTTACCATCTGTGAAGCAGGCTGCTGTGAGGACTAAATGATGACGTGGGTGAGCAGCCTCGCACATAGTGTGCCCTGAATGTCAGTTCCTCCTGTTCACCTCTTTCCGGTTTGGGGTACGCAGACGGAGCGGCGGGGGGAAGTTGCGCTCGGTTACAGGCAAGGTGCTAACTAAATCGGCAAACCTGGGTCGGAGCTTTCGTGGTCTGATCATTAAAATGACGCACACTTAGCGGAGAAATCTGAGTAAGACTGGTGGCGTTTACCAGTATCGCTATCCTGGTTGTGATCGTCTGCCAAGTGTTACCCAGGGGTAAGCTGAGCAACGCGAACAAGGGATCTGTATGATTTCTTACAACTGCATGTGAATCTACAGTTCCTCAAACATAACATGTGTGCGTACACATACATGTGTATAATTTATATATGTGTGTATATATAGTTTTGTAGCAGGCCTTCCTCTACCCCTCTAACCTCCAGAATCACACAGGATTGAGAAAACTCCTCACTGCCAGCTGATGGAAACCACCCGAGAACATCAAGGTTGTGGCCGCTGAACCGGGCTAAAGCCCTGCTGGGTCATCAGGTGGTAATGGGGAAAAGGTATGACGTAGGTCACCCTGTTCTTTATTCTTGCCAGAGGAACCCTCAGGGGCATGTGTGAGGTTCTGGGAGCCGGGCCCTACTACCTAGAGGCAGCCAATGGTGGGGGGCATAGGGGATCACTTGGTCTGGCCTTAGGTCCCTTCCAGAGAAGGCTGGATGAGGGCAAGTCTCATGCAGAGGCCTACCCAACTGGAAACCAGAGGGCAGATGGGAACTTTGATCTATTGCCTCCAGACACCACCCTCTGACTGTGGCAGGCAATCAGGGATAGAGGGAAAGGAACTCAGGTGGATCTCCTGATACTCTCAGGCCTTTGAATAGGGAGACCACCCACACTAGGCTTCGGCCAGAGCTTGGTCTGCTTCACCCTGCAAAGACGTGGGAAGCGTATTGTAAACTGAATGCAAATGAAAACACTATATCAGAATTTGTGAGATGTCTCTAAAATGGAGAGAAATTTTTTACCACCAAATGCCTCTATTTAAAAAGAAAGAAAGAAAGGTCTCATGTCAATGACCTCAGCTACCACTTAAAACCAAAGTATGGGCCGGCTGCAGTGGTTTACAACTGTAATCCTAGCAGTAGGATCACTTGAGCCCAGAAGTTCGAGACCAGCAAGATTCCGTCTCTACAAAAAAATAAAATAAATTAGCTGGGCATGGTGGCACACCCGTAGTCCCAGCTACTCAGGAAGCTGAGGCAGGAAGATAGCTTGAGCCCAGGAGTTTGAGGTTGCCGTGAGCTATGATGATGCCACTGCACTCTAGCCTGGGCAAGAGAATGAGACCCTGTCACAAAAATATAAATAAAAACAAAGTATGCAGAAGAAAAGAAATAACAAAGATCAATGCAGAAATTTTAAAAATTAGAAAACAGGAAAACACAGAAAATCAATGAAACCAAAAGGTGCTTCTTGAGAAGATCAATAAAATTTATAAATCTCTAGCTCTCTAGCCAGATTGATCAGGAAAAAAGAAGACACCAATATCAGGAATGAGAGAGGTGACATCACTACAGATTCTTCAGATAATAAAAGACTATTTAGGAAATATTAAAAACAACCTTATAAATTTAGCAACTTAGGCAAAATGCAGGCCAGCCTGGGCAACATAGCGAGACCTCATCTGGACGAGGAAGAGGAAGAAGAGGAGGAAGAAAAGGAAGAGGAAGAATTATTTATAAGAATCAGCTGGAACAGATACCAGCTCAATTTTAATAATGAGCATTACACCAATTCTGTCCTTCCCTTTATGTTGCTATTGTTACAAATTTATCTTTATGTATTGTGGGTATGTTAACATAGATTTATAATTATTTTATGCATTTATTTTAAATCATATGGGAAACAAAAAGGAGTTATATACCAAAAATATAATAATACTAGGTGTTATCTATAATAATACATACATTTTATATTTACCTATGTAGTTAAATTTACCAATGATCTTTATTTCTTTGTATGGCTTTGAGTTATCATCCAGTGCCCTTTTGTTTCAGTCTGGAGGACTCCCTTTAGCATTTCTCGTAGGGCAGGTCTACTAGAAATAAATTCCCTTAGTTTTTGTTTATCTGGAATTGTCTGTTTAACTTCTCTTTCATTTTGAATGATAGTTGTGCTGGATATACAATTCTTGGTTGACAGGGTTTTTTGGTTGTTGTTGCTGTTGTTGTTGTTTTTTCTCCTGTTAGTACTGTAAATATATCATCCCACTGGTTTCTGGCGTCCATGCTTTTTGACAATAAGTAGGGTGTTTATCTTAGGATGTTAATGTAATCCTCATGATAACCACTAAGAAAACAACTAAGGGATATATAGAAAAGGAAATGAAAAAGAAAGAAAAAAAATGTTGCACTAGAAAAAAATCAATCTAACACAAAAGAGGGCAGTATTGGAGGAACTGAGGAACAAAAAAGGACATATAGAAAGCAACACTATGGCAGAAGTCCTTCAATATAAGTAACCACATTAAATGTAAATGGATTAAATGTACCAATTAAAAGACAGTGATTGGTGATCGCTACACAACATTGTGAATATACTTAATGACACTGAATTGATACATTTAGAAATGATTAAAATGGTAAATTTATATTATGTATATTTTACTACTCACAAGAGAGATTGGCAGAATGGATTTATTTTTATTTTTATTTTATTAATATTTTAGAGATGGAGGTCTTGCTACATTGTCCAGGCTGGAGTGCAGTGGCTATTCACAGGTACGATCATAGTGCACTGCAGCCCCTAACTCCTGAGCCTTAAGCGATCCTTCTGCCTCAGCCTCCTGTGGACGACAGGCGTCTATCACGATGCCCACCTGGAATGGATGTTAAAATGATCCAACTGGACTTGAACGGACATTTCTCCAAAGAAGACATACAAATGGCCAATAAGCAAATGAAAAGATGTTCAACATCACTAATAATTAGGGAAATGTAAATCAAAACCACAATGAGATACCACTGCACACCCGTTAGGATGGATTATTTTTAAATAATAAATTTTTTAAAAAATAATATGTATATTTTTTTGGAAACAGAAAATAACAAGTGTTGATAAGGATGTGGAGAAATTAGAACCCTTGTACACTGTTGGTAGAATGTAAAATGGTACAGCCACTATGGAAAACAGTATAGAAGTTCCTCAAGAAATTAAAAATAAATTGGGTATAGTGGTATGCACCTGTAGTCCCAGCTACTCAGGTTCAAATGGTTAATAAAAAAAAGTTCAAGTATATCAAGTATACGTTGCTTTAGAGATTCACTTATAAGACACAAATAAGTTGTAAGTGAAAGGATGGAAAAAGATCTTCCATGCAGAGTAACCAAAAGAGCGAAAATGGCTATATTAATATTAGACAAAATAGACTTGAAGTCAAAAATTTCCACACAATCTCTGGGAGGCCGAGGCGGGAGGATTGTTTGAGCTCAGGAGTTCGAAACCAGCCTGAGCAAGAGCGAGACCCCGTCTCTACTAAAAATAGAAAGAAATTAATTGGACAACTAAAAATATATAGAAAAAAAATAGCCGGGCATGGTGGTGCATGCCTGTAGTCCCAGCTACTCGGGAGGCTGAGGCAGGAGGATCACTTGAGCCCAGGAGTTTGAGGTTGCTGTGAGCTAGGATGACGCCATGGCACTCTAGCCCGGGCAACACAGTGAGACTCTGTCTCAAAAAAAAAAAAATTTTTTTCCACACAGGACAAAGGACGTTTTATATTGATAAAAGAGTCAATTCATCAAGAAGATACAGCAATTATAAATATATACACATCAAACAACAGAGTCCTAGAATATATGAAGCAAACACTGACAGAATTGAAGAAATAGTTGTTTATTCTTTTTTTTTAGATAGAATGAAAGAGATTTAATTTTTAGAATATGGGGAGTAACTTAAATTCTCATGTGTCACTAGTGGTGGTGTGACATGGTACAACCACTTTGGAAAACAGAATTTTCTTACACTTTTAAATATCAACCTAGTGGAGGCTGGGCGCGGTGGCTCACGCCTGTAATCCTAGCTCTCTGGGAGGCCGAGGCGGGCGGATTGTTTGAGCTCAGCAGTTCGAGACCAGCCTGAGCAAGAGCGAGACCCCGTCTCTACTAAAAATAGAAAGAAATTAATTGGACAACTAAAAATATATAGAAAAAGCCGGGCATGGTGGCACATGCCTGTAGTCCCAGCTACTCGGGAGGCTGAGGCAGGAGGATCGCTTGAGCCCAGGAGTTTGAGGTTGCTGTGAGCTAGGATGACGCCATGGCACTCTAGCCCGGGCAACACAGTGAGACTCTGTCTCAAAAAAAAAAAAAAAATATCAACCTAGTGATGATATATCAATTTCACACCCATAGAAAGAAAATGAAAATATGTACCCTCAACAAATG